ACCTCTAACCCCTCACTCCTCAAATGATAATCATTGTGATTATCTTACCAAACCTTTTACCTTAACCGAATTCAATTCAGCTGTTAACTCTAGAAAAGACACTACTTGTGGTTTAGATACTGTTCCATATAAAGCTTTAAAAAATATAAATACTGCGTGTAGAGAACTAGTTTTGAAAATATGTAATATGTTATGGTTTCATTCACTTATTCCTAACGATTGGAAAGAAGATTGTTCATTTTAAAGCCTGGAAAAAACCTCATTTTGCAGAATCTTATAGACCTATAGCATTTACATCTTGTATGTGTAAAATATTTGAGCAACTTATAAAATCTAGATTAGAATTTTATTTAGAAAAAAAATTGTCTTTTACCATCAAATCAGTTTGGATTCAGACGCCGTAAGTCATCTAGAGAAAGTATTGCATTTCTACATTTAGACATCTTTAAAGCTATGGAAAATAAAGAAGTATTAATTAGTATATTCTTTGACATTGTTGGTGCATTTAATAACGTTAACCTTCATGTACTCGCCGCAGAGTTGAGGTCCTGAAAAAATTGTAAAATGGATATTTAACTTTTTACATGAAAAAATAGTTTTTGCTAAAGTTAATAATAATAATATAATTATTGGTCCTAGACTCAGTTATAAAGGTGTTTGTCAAGGAGGAATATTAAGTCCTCTTATCTTTATTTTATACATATTTAAATTAAACAATATTTTAGGATCAAATGTTACTAATTTACAATATGCAGATGATTTGGTCATATATGCCTCAGGAACAAATATCAAAAACTTGGTAACCACTTTAAATGAGGCTTTAAAGAAATTCCACATTTACTTTTCATACTTAAATTTAGATATTAGTACTGAGAAAAGTAAAGTCGTAATATTTAATAAAATTCGTCCATTAAACACTAGAATAATTTATAATAATACATTTTTACCAATAGAAAGTTGTGCAAAATTTTTAGGTGTAATTTTTACAAATAACTTATCTTGGACCAAATACGTGAATTCTATTTCAGACAGAGCTTCTAAGACCTTTAATGTATTAAAAGCTTTGGCTAGTACTAACTGGGGAGCTGATCCAGAAATATTATTAATGTTATATAAGTCTTTGGTGAGGAGCCATTTTGAGTACGGCTTTCTATGTTTTGAATCAATAAAAAACTAGTAAACAAATTAGAAAATATACAAAATAAGAATTTAAGACTTATTACCGGCTCTATGAGAACAACTCCTATTGTTTCTTTACAGGCTGAATATCTTACTCCGCCTATCTTACTTAGGTTTAAATATTTGAAATTTAGGTTTTTATTAAATATTAATTCTTTGTCTCATCATCCTCTTTTTCAAAAAGTATTATTTTACTATAATAATATGTCTCCTATATCTAACTCAGCTCCATGACTTTCATGAAGTGATACGATATGATGAACAATATAATATTCACAAAAGCACACATACTTGGCCTTATTATAAGGGGAATTATGAAAGTAAATTCAGTGATATACACATAAATATTGATGAAAAATTGAAAAGAAAAGAAGAGGTTTATGAACTTATATCTACATATGATGAATATCGACAAATTTACACAGATGGTTGAAAAGTTGAAAATAAAGTAGCCTGTGCATTTACATACCTCATCTGAAAACTGGACGTGGCCTTTCCATTCCTGTTTTAGCAAGCATATACACTGCAGAATGTTATGATGTCTTAATCGCTCTTAAATATATAGAAGAACACCCACATGTATCTAATAAATGGTTACTGATCTCTGATAGCATGAGTGTCTCGAAGGCACTGAAGGCAAGAGCTTTAGATGCTAAAACGTCTTTCATCATATATGACATCAAAAGTTTGTGGTAGAAATTGAAAGAAAATAATTTGGAAGTAAAATTTTTATGGACTCCGTCACATATTGGGGTTCAAGGAAATGAAAGAGCAGACCATTTAGCTAAAAGTATAGTTACAGCTGATATTGACAGGATAACCGATGTTGCAATACCACATACAGATTTATATTCAATTTTAAAGCAAGAGTTAAAAGAAGAATGGAAAATGCAATGGAATGCTGTTTTAGAGGCAGGAAAAGGTCGTTGGTATGCATCAATTAATTTAGAATTAAGCATTCCTTGGTTTTCTCGCAACGATATGCGAAGATATCATAGCAGAAAATATTATACAATAATGTGCAGACTTAGATTTGGCCACTTTCGACTGAACGCTCATCCTTCCAGGATGAGAATAGTAGCATCTGCAACATGCAATTTTTGCGATACAGAAGCAGATCAGACTGCAGAACATATAATATTCTGCCCAGCGTACGCCATAGAAAGATTGCTACTCATTGAAAAACTTATACAAGTTTATGAAAACTCAGAAAGCGTCCCGCGTGCCCTGCAAGATGTTCTTATGCCTCATCCACACGCTTGGCAAACAACGGCGAACAGCAAACACCAAACAGCAATCACGAACGTGTGGATGGTTGTTCGCTTGTTTGTTTGTTTGTTTGTTTCTTTGTTTGTATGTGATTGCCAGTGATCGGCGTAGGTGTCGGTTTTTATGCACCCATAAAAGGGTGTTCGACATACGTGTTTGCGATGTAGCCACACGTTTGGCGATCAGTCAGTAGTACGCGCGAGCTTCCGGCTTGCGGGCGGCGGAAGGAGTTACTAGTGGCTATTATTATTATACTCTACGCCAATGTTACCAATCCGAAATTTGTCGCGGAGGTAAATATGATTTCAGAAGTTGAGTTTCCTAACAATTTTACTTCGAAAATTTAGTAGATCTACCACCTATATTTTTTTAAGTTTTCTAGAGTCCTATTAGATTTATTTTATTAGACTATTGGGTAACAAATATTTCACCTCTTTTTATAAGGAGCCCCGTGTGAAAGCAGGATCATTGCTCATTAATTCCCAAAATAAAATCCGAAAAAATTATATAAGATTAGTATATCCTATGTATCGATAAGTTTAGTATATCTTGATTTAATAGTTTTTAGACTTTCGTAGTTACACAACAAGGAACCCTTATAGTTCGCCATGTCCGTCCGCGGTTTTGCGCAGACCCTAGGTGCTACAAATCTGTGATTTGGCACATTTATAAATATTAATCACGCCTAGAAAACTGTGCAATAATATCTTAAAAACATTTTTATTTTGGGTACTTCCCATACAAGTAAATGGAGGATGATTTTTTTACGTGTCTATTCTATCATGTGGGGTATCGTTGGATAGGTATTTCAAAAACATTGGGGGTGTTCAACAATATCTTTTCGATTCAGGGGTCCGTTTCTGAAATATTTAGCTTTAAAGTAGTATTTTTCATTAGTTACGCCCCTTACCCCCCCCCCCCCCCCTCTCTACCAACTTAACCGATGTTTATCGAAATGTGAAAAGTACACCCAATAGTAGTTTATATAATGCAGTTAAGAGGAAAACTATCACAGCTAAGTAGAATCAAGAAGTTAACGAGTAATAGTTGACCAACTTATAAAAAACCCTTGGATTAGTAAAAATTTCTTTACATTTTCTTAGAAAAGACCTAAAACTAGCTGCATTAATAACTTTGTAATGTTATTGTCAGCTGTTAAAAATAAACATTTTATGAAGAAAACGGCGCATATGCATTACTACTATTAGTTTTGGCGAAGCGTTTTAAAATAGTATATCATTTTCATTCCATAAAAAATAAACAATTGTGCGTTATGAAAATATTGCTATTAAAGTGTATAAGGCGCTTCGAATAAAGAGATAATCGAATAAAAATATAATGTCAAACGAAAGTTCGGGGTTCGATTCCCCGGTCAAGCATTAATTTCATAAAAGTTTGTTTTTAGATTAATTTAGAGTAATGTGTTACATAATAATCAGCTATGCAATACGAATAAAAGCGTTCAAACCAAACTTATTTTAACCTGAAGACAATTTATAGCAGTGATAATTCACAATTCATTTGAGATTCTATGGTAAATAAATTCTTTAATACAATAACCTTGAGAGCAATTCATATTGCCTTATTTTTAAATAAAAATAGGTCAACCCGAAATTAATCGCTGCCACAAGCTCGTCATCCGTCATGTTTGCCTATTCGGAATATACTAGCACGTTCGCCGAGCGTGTGGATGCCGTGTTTGTGTTGGGTGAATGTGGTCGGTGTTTGTTCGTGAATGGTGTTTGTGGCAAACACCAAGCGGTGGAGGCGGCATTAGGAATACTAAGACATATTTAGCACATTGCAATTTTATTCATAATACTGTAAAAGAAATATGAAATATGGTATCCCTGTTTTTGAAAATATTGGATTGACAAATCTACATGGATTGAAACTTACAAAGAGTATAATATAAAGAAGACTTGGCTATAGCCTTTACGGGTTTTTGAAAATATGAAGAATTAAAGAAAATAAGACTTAACTACGGCCTTTATGGATTTTGAAGAGATGCAAAGAAGAAAAATAAGACTTGGTTCCGGCCTTTACACCCTAAAATTCTATATATTCAAAACAAAAAAGACAAGGCTGTATGGTTTAGTTCCTTTGCCTGCTCTCTCGAGCGAGTAATAAAAACAACAACTACAATTTCAATCACCACAAATTATAAAGTAGTATGCACAGAATACATACATATACCCTGACGGGGTAGTATGTGTTTCTATATAGTTTGTGGGTAGTATGTATTCAATCACAGAGTACATTATATATTACATTTCAATATAAAATATTTAAAAATATAAAACTAAATGAAAAACATACTACTATATAATTTGTGATAAAAATAAATTAAGATTTACATGACCAGTCTGATGATAAGTGTTATCTTTGCCGTGATATTTTTACTTAATACGAACACTATGCAAAACAGATTGAACTGTCGCTTGAAAGTTTGATATACTTTGCACAGTCATTCCAAGTCATCCTAAATTATTTATAAATTAAAATTAAATGCATGCTTCTTGTCGCACAGTAATTCACAAAATTTTGCGGATATGGAAACAAATACTTTTGAAGGTGTTTTAGATAGATACAATGGTATCACTGTAGATTCTCAAAAGGAATCTTGTGAATCTAGTCAATTTCTTAGTCGATTATTTGGTAAGCAGTGTTTTTTTTTTTTTTTTCTATAAAACTTATTAATTATTATTAATTTTTAATTTCGTTAAGTAATAATCTTATAAGTGTTTTACATGTGTATGTAGATTTAGTTTGATTACTGATTTATAACTTAAGTAATAATTTATTATTGTGCATGAAACAATACATAGTGCTAACGGATGTCACTATAAGACAATACACAAAATGGTACGACTTTCCATTGACGTCCGTCGAGTTGGGGGTTGATATTTTTTTTACAGAAAGGTTACATTATTATAAGCACACACGCAAAGTTTCAATATTCGGAGACACATACTTTTTGAGAAAAAAAATATTGAAAATCAACTATTTTTGCAATATTTATGTCAATTACTACCGTAAAACTGATGCTATTTTGTATTGTCATTGTCAGTAGGGATGGCAATTCTTTCCGAAAAGGTATGATTTTTTTAAATTGATTCGAATCGTAAGCTGTATCGATTCATAAAAAATCAATTTCTAAAATATAGATATATTTTCCTGTTTGCATTTATAATGTAAATATAAATCCATTTTATGAGAAAAAAATCCCCTTCATCATAAAAAATATGGGGACTGATTCAGAAGGATTTCTGTATCTATTTTGAGACTGCTACGTCTCCGGCGCTGCGGGAAGAGCAGCCTCTTCACCTTTGTGTAACAAATCGCAGGCATCGGACGAGCTGTAGCGGCTGAGGCTGGTCGCCGAAGGTGACCAACAAGCCGAAGCTGCAAAGGCGATGAGGCGGAGGCTGCTCCCCCTACGCGCCTCCGGCTCAATAAATCACTCTAGGGGTAGGACAGACTCTTACCAGGTGGAGTTGGGGTCAATCAATTCAGTTCTTTGACATAAGTTGAAACTAACCAATATTAAGCAAGAAAATCATTAATTAATAAAATGTAATTTATTTACTACTATATAATAAAAAAGCAAAAAACCACACAATCTTGTACATTTTTTCACACCACAAGCTTTTCAAAGTCTTGACACATGGACGGCGACGTTCACATACAACTGCGACACATGCTGTTTATTCGAAATTTCTAAACATTGAAGTACTTTAGTAGCTTTGTATCGGATCTTCGTTCGTTGGTCTATAATTTTCTATAAGTGAAAAAGAGATAGCAATCATTGTCGACATTAATATTACCCGCCAAATACTCAGTCATGGATCGGACAGTATTTGGTCGCTTAGCAGATGTGCATGATAATTCATCGGCCTGATTCGGGCCGATCGTCAGACAAGGGGCTATACATTGTGCAGCAGAACATATTGGCATTATAAAAATTACAGAATTCTGCAATTTTTCCAGAGTGACAAATGAGCACACAGACCACCTGATTGTACGTTGATGCTGTGGGCCATGGACATCTATATCTTTCATTAATTAAAAATTAAAATGTAGATGCATTGGCACCTATGAGGACTAAGAAAGAATGCCTTGTTTTCAATGAAAAGGTTCCCTGTGTTTGTACATTCTACTCTCACCATATGAAACAAGAGCATTAAATGGCTGTTTTAAGCTCAAAGAGTGATCCGTCACTGGTCGAGTCACCACCTAGTTACCAGACCCATTTACGCTATAACTATGATATAGCGGCAGTGTGGGTCTACCATGTATAGGTAGCATTCATGTTATATGCATATAGTATGAAAATGATAGTATGAGCAATGGCTAGTATCTAGTGGGCCAGGAACATAAAATTATATTTATGGTACAGTACTATCTCCTTAATATTATATTTACTTTGTAAAATATTTCTGAGACTATCAGTTACATTTAAAAATCTTAACATAGCGTTAATAAATAATAATTTCATATGTCATAAAATAAAATATTATTATGTAATAAAAATTACAACTCATGCATTTTTAGATTCATTGCAGAAATGGGATAAGGAATCACGACGATGCATATGGTTTAAAGTTGATATAAAAGATGCTGCTTGGGTTCCTTTACTCGCTAGTGTAAGTTGACTTACAAATGAATATGTATTTATTTATTTATTTGTCTTTGATATGGTATTATACCATTAATTTAATTTTTATTGTTGTTTGTTTATTCATCTTTTATGCATTCCTATATTATGGTACTATTACGATGCAATATAATTAGCCATTATGGCCCCCACTGCAAAGGTTCCGACAAAGAGAGGCATTGCTATGTATGCCAGTCATAACAGGTAAAAGTATTAATAAACACATAGTATTGGGTTGTTGCATAAGTTTGTTATAACATTACTTTTATGAGCTTATATATAACCTTCCTCCTCTTTTCTTCTGATTAGGCAGAGCACGAATTCTATAATAATAAAACTTACTTTATGACCAAAAGAATATTTTAAGGTTCTCTTCAATATTCTGTTAGAAAACACCACAAAAACAATTTAAATAAATTATCACTTCTTAGTTATGACTTTACAACTTGTATACTATATTTGAAACTCATTAGAAATTAAATATACCACCAAAATAAATTAAGTATGAAGGCACCAATGAAATTATTAGTTACAATTGTGTTTTAATTAAGTTAATTAATTAATTAATTAAGTCCAGAATACCATGTGCTCAGTGGCAAAGTAAAGCATCATGAGAAAACCGGCATGACTGATGAATAAAATATTTCGAGGGAGCATGTGGGTACACAAATACACACGTTAGTAGCACGGCACACTAATTGCTCCATATCTCTTTAAGAATCATTTCTGATATAGGAGACCTGTGCCCAACAATGGAACAACATACAGGCTGTAACTTTAACTTCTCATCTCAGTGAATAAATTATGTTGAACATTGAACAACTAAACTATTAATATTTCTTTTTGCAGGAAGGTTTTAGTTTTCACCATTCCAGGGATAACTTTGTTATGATGTATAAATGGTTACCTAAGAACAGTTCCTCCAATTTACCTCCTGCTTGTCACACTAATATTGGAGTAGGAGGACTAGTATTCAATGATGATCATCAAATACTAGTGGTGACTGAACAACATTATGAATATCCACATTGGAAGCTGCCCGGTGGATATGTTGAAAGAGGTATATGTGTTGAATAAAAAAAAGTGCAACACAAGATATTGTATATAGATCTACATAGGCTGGTTTTACAGTTACTCTGACCGTTGAATATGCATGTAGGGATTTTCAGGAATACTGATTACTGAGCGCTGAGTAGCTTTGGCACAGTGTAGCCGAAGTGCCTCTGGTGTCATTGAGCATTGTAGGATTACGCTAAGCGTTAGTCCCGATGGGTACTATACAAACGTGTCATGATATTGTCACTGGTCGAGCCATTGATGAGGTTCCTTTGAGAAAATGTTTATGGGATATATGAATCAAGGCCTAGAGTGATATTGTCGACGAACTGTTTGAAGACCCAGACAAACTGAATGGGTCAATAGGTATTCCTAGGTACGAATGTACTCGGAGGTCGTTGCGAGATTAAAACGTCTTTCGCTGATAGAAACACTTGTACATCTACCTACTGTACCGACGGTCAGCGTGACTGTAAAAGCAGACTTATATTTTTTATAGAATAAGGGTGACAAACAAGCACACATTCCACCTGATGGCATTTGGTTGCTGTGGCCCATAGACATCTACATTTATCCTCGTTTGCAAATCAAAATGCAGATGCGCTGTCAGCCGTGAGGACTAACATGGAATGCCTCTTTTCCAGTAAAAATGGTCTCCAGTTCTCTATACTCACCATGCGAAACACAGCAGCATTAAGCTGCTATTTTACGCTGGTATTCTGTGAGAGCATGGTCCTTCCCCAATCAAGCCAACCCATTTGTGCTACAACTATACTATTATATAGCTGCAGCATGGCTCAAAAGTGTATAGTATGCGCCATAATAGCCCACGGACACAGATTAAATAATGTTACTGTGTAACCACATACCACATAGCTAATTGCAATACAAGATACTTGGAAGTTTTGACGCTACTCTGGATTTTTACATAATGTTTACAATTTCCTGACAGAAAATCCATAAACTAATTTTTAGCCCGACACGAGAATCATACTGCGACTACATGATCAGCAATTATTCTTATGATTATAAGGATAACAAGGCAATGAAATTTATAATAGTAAATCAAGACGAAAATATTCAAAAATATGAGTCTCTGAAAGATGACTGTATCTTTGTGCTATTAGCTTTAGAGATTATCCTTCCATAAGATACGTCCAATATCCATTTGATACTTGCTGGCTATTATGTATCTTATTCTATATATAACATTTTACTTGTTGTACTTATAATGTAATATCCTTCTTACAATGGAAGAGGCTTATGTCTATCAGTGGATGGACTGTTAGAACAGAAAAAGAAGATATAAGCTATCCGCTATCTATCTAAGGCTATCAGATCTATGTTGTGGCTTACAGTTGAATTTTATGACACCCACGGAACAAGATGAGTGAGCAAGAACATGGCGAAATCTGTAAATTTTTATTTATTATTTTCTATAAATTGTTGAAATAGATCAAAATCAAATAACAGTGTATATAATAAAATTTTATTTAACTTATTTTTCAGGAGAAGATATAAAAGAGGCAGCAATTCGAGAGGTAAAGGAAGAAACTGGCATTGATGCTGTTTTCGAATCCATGATAACTCTAAGGCATACACATAAAATGATGTTTGGCAACTCTGATATTTACATAGTAGTTGCACTTAAAGCTACTTCTAACACAATTATTAAATCAGATGAAGAAATCAAAGCTTGTAAATGGATGAACGTGGATGAGTTCTTAAATCATCCGCACGTACATGAATTCAATAGATTTATTGTAAAACAAGCATTGGATCTAAAGAAAAGACAAATTAAAATTGGTCTTCATAAGGATACAATTAAAATTTCTAATTGGTCAAGGGAAATAACATCACTTATAATAGAAGATTTGTGATTGACATGTTTTAGTACAATTGTATAATATGTTAATAATATTATGTACGAGTACGTAATTACTACTGGAAGGTCAGTGAGATTAGATAAAACATGTATTATATTGTTTGAGATAACTAGTTAACATGTCTAAATCTATAAACTGAATACGGTCAAAATCTATAAATTATGATAGGTAAAATAATATTTTTAGAGATAAGTCACATTTATCAATTTTATTGACTTGTACATGACGTCAAACAGCAAAAATAAACATGAAACAATTAATAATAATAGGAGTTTAACCCAACAAAGTAGGTAAATAATAATAAAACAAAAGCAATCCTTCAAGCGGAACGCGCTTCAAATGTTTGAAGTGTATCAACTAAGCGAGCCTGGCTCGCGCGGCAGCCATTCCAGTGATTGGCCGTTCAACATGGATGTCGGTCGTGTACGAACAGCCGCTGCTTTCATAGTTCCATGCATCTTCTCTTCTCTTCTCTTCTTTATTATAATAAAAACGACTTTTGCTATTCCACAGCACTTATTTTGAACCATATAATTTTATCAATTTACGGCAACTCTGGTTATATTACGGTTGGGGGGGGGGAGGGGGGTTTACCTAAACTAGAGCCGTTTTTTTAGGCTTTCGTAGATTATCTAGAGCGACGGACCATTCTGTTATGAAATCAGCGTGATTTTACATTACTTAGTTTCGTTGACCTTGCTTATAATCTGTGATTAAAATGATTCAACTACCTATTGTTTTGTATTTTATGACAGACTTCTAATAAGAAGTTTTATGGTGATGGCGGCATAAAATTATTCATCGCCCTCATTCGTATGGTCTTGTGACTTTCGACAGATAAGCAATACACCAATCCTATTAACGGCAGATGTAACAGGCAGCAGCGTCAATGGTGTGAGATATTTTGTACTATGATCGACCAATACGCCTGTTAGCGTGGCGATTTTCATAAAATCACACAACGAGAGAGTTCTGTGACCAGAGCAGTGTACTTTTACGGACTGAGAAAGAAGAAAAAGATTCAACTGAGGTATTAAAGTTAGAACTATTATACAACTCGGTTGAGCTAAGTTTGCAAAGCGAAACCCCCCTCGTTTCTTAGCTCTCAACTCTCAGTTCATACAGTCGCGTCAGTACCGTTTGCATCTTTGTTACCGATACGCATGTCTTCATTCTATCGTCTCCTATTTGTTTAGCTTTTGGATTATTTTTGTTGTTATGTTATCGGCACCAAGTGAAAATTAATCTCACCATTGTACATCCTAGTCTTGGGCACAAAATTCTTACCATTTAGTACGGTTAAAAAGACTGCCTATGTTCACATTAGATTCATAATTCGCTAGCATAGTTAACCGGTTCAGTGCGGGTGACACGCCAGGCGTGCCATTGATTACTTTTGTGTGTGGCGTATGACACGCGAGTCGTGTCTTTTTAAAAATCGTTATAACTCGCTCAAATTGCTTTTATGGAAAATTTATCCAGAACAAAATATTCATTATATTGCGAGTAGTTCATGCATGCAGCTTCGTTTCTGGATATTTTGAAAATTTGAAATTTTTAGGGGTTTACAACCTTTTTTTAACGTGTACATGGTACTATTTTTACTTTGTGTGTTTTAAACCATGTTATGGAAAAATTGTCTAATAAGTAACAAATAATAGCACTCATTGCGATCGCTCACAACCTCAAGTTGTATATAAATTTTTGGAAAACAAGTCTCCTGTTAAAAACAACAATACGTTTGTCTTATTTGGTCTAATTTTGCTTAAAATGGTTGAACTGCCGTCTTATTACTATCATATGGCCGAATAGACCTACAAAGTACCATGTGCTCTTGTGATATGGTATAAGGTTTATTTTTGCTTGAAACAGTTCGAAACCGTTCATGCATAAAAAAAGTTCGCTAATAAATAGTCTTTTGTCAATCCGCCGCCGTATAGCGCCGGCGTTTTTTTCCTTTTGAAAACACTTGTTTTGCTATTCTTACTAATTAGACGTTTTCAGATCGATTTTACTTTTACATTTGTATAACATTACATAATATTTAACATTTGTAAATATCAATGAATGATATATACTTTCTTTTTTTTCAAATTAAGGTTCTTCATTGTTTGATATTTACAAATTTTATTATTAGGTGAAAATTTAATTTAATAAAAACCAAGGTTTCCAGAGTGATTTAGCTGTACCTACTTATATAAATGATTTTTTATAACAACAAAAAATAGTACAAAACCTTTTCTCAAAATCTCTTCATAAAAAAAGTCACTTTCTCTCAATTTCAAAGAAAACGCGCAAAAAACACGTAGTTACCCACTAAAAACAAGTATCCTTCCATTTGTAACTTATGTTTGATGTCTGTGGCGCTTAACACGCCCGGCGTGTCATGAAATATTTGTTCGCCGCCACAGCTGAAAGTCGAAAATTGGTGCCGCAACGAATCAGTTAATTATTCCTGTGAAATGTTCTAAAAAGTAGTAAATAGAATTTGTATCGCAATAGTTTTATCGATATAAAATACGGAGCCTACAAAGGTAGGTATGTACGTAAAAATAATTAAATGACATCAGACACCCCGTTCGCGGCGTAGTTTTTATTTTAAACTTAACTTTAAACGGATACCTATATGTATAGTTTTCCATTCTGAATTTGTCATGTAAAGGAGAATGCTAGATTCTCTATGGAATTTTGCCCTACCCAAAAGTGTGGTGTACACGAATGCCCTATGTTTTTAGAACAGCATTCGTTGCAGTTCATTGTAATTTCAGAATATAAATAAGAATTTAAGGAGCATAATAATATAATGATCAGTAACATTAAAAAAAGGCTTCTCTTGTATAGGATCTAAAAGGTCCTTTACACAATATAAGACTAGCACCACCTGTTTTTCATAAAATCGAAGTCCTAGTGATGTAAACGAGTTATATTATTTACAAAATTATTTTTCAAGTTACATGTTATTATGGCATGTGTCTGAAGAAGGTGTAAATATTTACAGATTAGTAACTAATTTTACGACAACGGCAGGACCATAAATTATCAACTATATAAAAAAGCTATAAAACTATATCTTATACCTGTTGCAAAGATCTTCATGTTGAAAGAAGAGTTAAGATTGTAAATCGAAATGAGGACAAAATGGATCCTATCGACGCAAAGATGACAATTAGTGCACCTCAACATCGTGGATGCAATTATCAGAATGTCCGTAGTAATTAGCAGTACGTCAACAAGTAGACGTGATCGAGTCCGTATATCAATAAAAGCATAAGTCGTTAGCAAAAGCAGGAAAAAGTGAAACGGTAAAGAAAGCGGGAATCAGCACAAGCAAAAATGTGATATAATCGTAGTTTATACCGTTAGTTTGAACATAGCGAAGGCCTTCTATCAGGTTTGGCACAAAGCGCTTCTTTCAAAGCTCCTTTCCTATGGGCTTCCCGAGATGTTGTACAATTGGATCAGCAGTTTTCTTGCAGATTGCAGCAACAAAGTCGTAGTAGAAGGTGCATGCTCCATTTACAAGCCTACGCTGTTTCTTCTGATTATCAATAATATGTTGCAAACAAGTAACGTGCACTGGTGATGCTTTATACACAAGCTGTGCCTATATTTCTCGAGAAAACGTTGCCGAGTATCGGAGCAGACTTGTGTCTGAAGTCGAGTTTTAGCCAGATAAAGTCTCTGGGGCGACTAAATCTAATTAAGTTTAATGCCCAGAAAATATAACTTTGCGCGTTTACCGCTAAAAGGAACCTCTTTGTCGTAACTCCTCAATTTCAGGGCACTCTCCTTGTTACCTCAGCCACTATCGGAATCTTCGGCGCTGACATATCGAATAACGTGCAGTTTCGTGGTCACTTGGAAGGGAAGGCTGAATTGGCCTCTAAAAAGCTTAGCGTGCTCAGCAGAGCGGGACAGTATTTTATGCCGGCACACTGCTTGCAACTTTACAAGGGGCAGGTTCAGCCTAACATGGAATACTGTTCTAATCCCTGGGCCGGGGCTCCCTAATACCAGCTCCTTCCACTTGACTGCATCCAGCGGAGAGCGGTTCGAATCGTCGACGACCGACGAAGAGGTGTTGCATCCCTTTGCATTTTCTATCGCATTTACCACGGCTCCCCGTGTTTAGAGGAATTGTTCGGATTAATTCCAGCCACAAAATTTCATCAACGCATTTCATAAATCCACATATGTCTACTATTGTCGGACCGATACGACTTAGGGAGCTTCAAGAAACGAGCTTACTCCTTTTTAAAAAGTCGGCAACGCGCCTTCAATTCCCTTGGTGTTGTATTTGTTAACCCATTAGTGGCCAAAATCAAATAAAAAACGTTTTTAACGAAAAAATTTTATTTTGTTAACTAGGCAGGACTAGCAAACAAAATGAAACAAAAAAAAAATTTTTATACTTTTTCAGGGGTGTACTTGTACAGTGGCCACTTATGTGTGAAATTTTTCGATCAACCATCTTGAGGCAGTCTTTCGACCATAGAAGAAGATGGTCTGGCTCTTTTTAGAGTTTCTTGTCGCAAATAGTATCTGGCAAGACTACGTCGAAACAAGAGTTGATCCATAGGGTCATCCTTGCTCATAACATGTAAACGCCAAGCGTTTTCCACAGTAAAAACAGTAGGTACCCAGTGGAAATTGCAGCAACCTAGTTCTTATATCCAAAACGCACTGGTTTGCCTCGTATAAATTGCTTACTGAGGTGGTGTTCATAATATTTGACCATCGACTCGTCAATTGAAATATTTTCATGAAATACGCCCCCATTGATTGAATTTGGTCGTCTAGGCTGTAGGCTAGGGATCTAATTTTGAACATTTTATCTCTGGAATTAGATGCTTCATCGTTATTCACAAGATGAAGATATCTTTTTATTTCACGAAATTTATTCCTCGACGTAGCTCTTGAAACTTTATTTGTACGTGGTAGAGCCAAGCTGCAGCTATATTTATAATATAGTTGTAGCACGAATGGGTCGGCTC